GTTTTCATCTGAATGACTTAGTCTCCTGTGGGTCTGCCTATATCTTCATTCTCCACACAGTAGAGTAACCTAAAAACTGAAACTCTTTTTCTATAAGTTTGTTCGTTTTTGTTTGTTTGTTTTTGAAGTCATAATTGAGCTGCAACACTATGTTAGTTCCTGGTGCACAACATAGTGATTGGATACGTCTACACATTTCAAAATGATTGCCACAATGAGTCTAGTTACCACCTGTCACCAAACAAAAATATTACGTTATTTTTGACTATATTCTCCACACTGTATATTTCATACCTATCACTCATTTATTTTGTAACTGAAAGTTAGTACCTCTTCATCTCTCTCATCTGTTTATCTCCTCCCCTCCTCCACTCTAGCTATCATCTATTTGTCCTCTGTAACTCGTGCTGTGTTTCTGTTTTATGTTCATTCATGTTTTTTAGGATCCCACATATAAGTGAAAATCATTCAGTAGTATGTGTCTTTCTCTGTCTGACTTAGCATTACACCCTCTAGGTCTATCCATGTTGTCATAAATACATAAATTCTCCTTTACAGCTAAGTAATATTCCATTTTATATATTATATATATATATCAAATCTTCTTTATCAATTTGTCTATCAGTGAACATTTAGGTTGCTTCCATATCTTGGCTATGGTAAATAATGCTGCAGTGAACATACAGGTGCATGTATGTTTTTGAATTAGTGTTTTTGTTTTCTTTGGATACATACCCAGGATTGGAAGTGCTAGATCATATGGAAGTTTTATTTTGAATTTTTCAAGGAAATTTCGTATCATTTTCTATAATAGATGCACCAATTTACATTCCCAACAACAGTGTACAGGGGTTCATTTTTTCCATATCCTTGCTTATATTCGTTATTTGTTATACTTTTGATAATAGCCATTCTACAGATGTGAGGTGATATCTCATTGTGGTTTTCCTTTGCATTTCCCTCATGATTAGTGATTTTGAGTATCTTTTCATGTGTTTCTGGGCCATCTTTTGTCTTCTTTGGGAAAATACCTATTAAAGTCTTCTGCCCAATATTTAGTTGGGCTGTTTATTTTTTTGATGTTAGGTTGTATGACTTCTTTGTATATTTGAAGGTTAACTCCTTATCAGGTATATAATTTGCAATTATCTTCTCTCTTTCAGTAAGTGGTCTTCTCATTTTGTTGATGGTTTTTTTCACTGTACAACAGCTTTTTAGTTTCATATACTCCCGTTTGTTATTTCTGCTTTTGTTTTCCTTGCCTGAGGAGACATATCAAATAAAAATTACCAAGATCAATGTCAAAGAGCATACTGCCTATGTTTTCTTCTAGGAGTTTTATGGTTTGGGGTATTAAATTTAAGTCCTTAATCCACTTTGAGCTTAGTTTTTAATATGGTGTGAGAAAGTAGTCCAGTTGGATTCTTTTGCATGTAGCTGTCCAGTTTTCCCAACACCATGTACTGAAGAGGCTGTCTTTTCCCATTGTATATTTTGCCTCCCTTGTTGTAGATTAGTTGACCATATAAGTTTCGGTTCATTTCTGGGCTCTCTTTTCCATTCCATTGATCTATAAGTCTGTTTTTGTGCCAGTACTATACTGTTTTGATTACTGAAGCTTTTGGAGTATAGATTAGAGAGTGACATCCAGATTTGTTCTATGTTCTCAAGATTGTAGCTGTTCGGGATGAGGATGAGTCCCAGGTTTCTGGCATAGACACCTGGGTTGCTAGTAAGGACATGAATTAAGAGAGAACTGAGGGGAAAAAAGTAGCATTCTGCAATCAGGAGAGGGAGTAACATGTTATGTTTTGAACAACCTAGGTGTTAATTACTTGTGGTATGAGAAAGTGATTTTATTTTTGTTTGTTTGTTTGGATTGGTTTGGTTTGGGGTTTTTTTTAACATTTTTTATTGAGTTATACTCATTTTACAATGTTGTGTCAAATTCCAGTGTAGAGCGCAATTTTTCAGTTATACATGAACATATATATATATATATATATATAT